ATTCTCCGATTCTGAGATTTTTGGTTCACCATAAACCCACTAGTTCAATCATTATTTATTAGTGTACTATTTTGGCGTTTCCTGCCTTTATTTGTATCATAGGGTAGGGGTTTGGGTTTTAATGATGTATTGGTTATGCTGCTGAGTGTTGGAAATATTGGTCTTGTTGGGTGGGTTGAGTTATGTAAAATTTTGGCATTCATCGGTGTTGTCATGGAGCATCTTAAATAAAGAAAAAATATTCTCCACATCATGTAGGATTTAATACCTGGTTGTATTCCGTGAAAAAATTTCACTATAGGTTTTCATTTGTGCAATGTAGCGGATTCGAATTGAAGAAATCAGAAAAGACCCATGGTTCAGAAGAAACTACATGCCTGCTAAACTAGGAAAAGTTGAGGAAGTAAACTTAGATGATGTACGGGCTGTTTTTGATGGCATTGAGGTTGGTTTTTGTTTCCTTTATTACTAATTATGGTTTTGCTTCTCTTCAAAAGGAAAACAGTTGGGGCTTTGTATTCTGTGTACAAAGACATACAACCATGAACACTACCTGAATCTGCCAGAATCCGCCCCTCCTTACAGCAGAGAGTATTTCCGTTTGAAACAAATGGCCTAACTTTCACGGTTATGTTAAAATTGCTTTTTGATCTTGTTGTTCATTGCACGTGATCACAGGTTTATATGGTGCATACTATACTGAATTTTTTGTGCAATGAAATGCAATCTTCTTTTCTAATTTGCTTCAAGTTTAAAGCTTGTGTTCCTGGATCTTGTTAATATTTTGCTTGTTTTCCATGCATATTTGTGTACTAAATTAATTCTCTTCGCTCTCATCAGTACTTATCATTTTGCAGAATGAATATGTAGTTGATCAGTCAGAAAAAAGTGACGATGGTCCGTTGATAATGAATGCATTTGAGATGATAACATTATCTCAAGGATTAAATCTGTCACCATTATTTGACCGGCGACAGGTTAGCTTGTTTCAAGCCATGTTTTTCTTCTTTGACATAGAATGTCAAGTGCTCTATTCTTTTATCCTTTCAGGCCATAATGTATCCATCTTGCATTGTATGTGTACTTGGTGGAATTCTGAGATTTACCATTCCTCACTGTCATTCTTTCCTTCCCATGACAGGACTATATAAAGCGGCAAACACGTTTTGTTTCTCGTAAACCTGCTAACTTCATAATGTCTACCATTGAAGTAGTGGCAGAAGCAATGGGTTTAAATGTCCACACACGTAATTTCAAGGTGCAACTGTTATTCTTCCCTCTTGAGGAGTGAAATTGTGACATGGTTTTGGAATTACATATTAATTTTAATTTTGATTGAAATTTTCTTTACAGACAAGGTTGGAAAGAAGGACTGGACACAGGGCTTCACAGTTTGCAGCTGTGCTGGAGGTACTCTCATAACCATGATGGTTGATAATCCGAGGTTTTATAAACTATTCAAATCATTTGCTTATTAAATTCACTTCTGGTTTATAGATTTATGAAGTGGCCCCGTCACTTTTTATGGTGGACGTTCGCAAGGCTGCAGGAGACACTCTAGAATATCACAAGGTAATTTGATACAATTAGATCTTGGTACTCAAAAAGACACAGGGAGGCCTAAATCCTTTAGATATATTTATTGTTAATAAACTGAATTTTCTTGTTTGTGTGGCCTTGTAGTTCTACAAGAATTTCTGTGCTAAGCTAGAAAATATAATCTGGAAACCATCAGAGAGTGTAGGGAACTGAAGCCCTGCTTGGTACTGGTTCTATGGAGCAAATGTCAAAAGCAGCTGTTCATCATGATGAGATGCTTTTATCAACGATGCTGCAGGTGTTCATGAAGCATCTCTTTGCCATGATCTGAACGTTATATATGCTGTTATGAATTAGAAAACGGAAAGGCTAAGCTGCAAATAATGTAAAACTGGAAGTATGTAGGGCTTGTGTGTGTATGCTTAATTTTCTTTATGCCGACCCCGACCCCGACCCCTTGGAAATAAGAGGATGGAAAAGTGAAAAAGACATCCACATAGGAAATTCTGCTTGGATTGTACAGAATGTTATTGAAACTAAATTTAGGATCTTTTTGCTGAGAGCTGTTATTTTAATGAATCATTTGCATAAAATGTTACTACATTCAGAATATTGTATGTTTGTGGAAGCGAAGCCCTTGTGGCCAAATGTAAACCATCTTTGTTCTTACAGCAGGTCTGTTCTTGTTTAGAATAACTAAAAGTTGTTTTCTTTTGCAAAACTTATTAAAGGTTGGTGAAATCGTTATAAATAAAACAGAGTCGAAGTTACTCATCGACAAGACGACAGTGACAAATTAAGGTAAGATGTCGGACGGAGACAGTTATTTTATGCTTTTTATCATCTCCTTCACTTGCTCTTGGATCTGTCTTAATATCTCTTAGAGAGCTCTCAGGCATTGGATTGAATTTGGCTCATTGCTGTTGAGGAAAAGGTACGTCTCTTTGAATACACAAAACCTGAACATGGTCCACCAGAAACATTGTTTTCTTGCTGCTATACTCATCATGTCTAAGTTGATTACAAAACAATGATAGACTCAACTTAGAACTGAGCTTTAATATAAGATCCCACATTGGTTGGATAAGAAAACAGTGGAAATCTCTCCTTAATGGTGGTATGTAATGAGCCAAGACTGACAATATTTGCTAGCGGTAGGTTTGAGTTTGGATTCTTACACTTAAATGGTATGATTATTGCATAAACAATAGTTCATTCTCTTTGAAGGAAAAGGACAGAAAAGTCTAGTGGTCCAATGGACAGTTATGGACAATAATCCATCCATCTGATTCAACCAAAACAACTAACTTATTCGCATTAAATAATGTACTTACAAGCACTCTCCATTGGATTTCATCCCTTAAAGAAGAAACCAATTAATCTCTAATGGGAAGAGAATGAGCCTTTATTTTGGTTTCTAAGGTTGAAAGTACTTATCTTTACACTTACATTTCCACGAGAGAAGATAATAGGCATCATCCCTAGGGGCTGGAAGAGCGGCCTCCAAATTAGAAAAAGCATTATTATGAACCCCTTTATGGCGCTGAGAAATAACCAAAGCAGCAACACATGGCCTGCAATTCAAGCACTTGTTGAAGCACCGTGGCGGCCTTGACCCAATTACCAATTCCTTCTGCCTTGAAGAATCCTCATTCCCTGAGGCTCCAAACACCAAAAAAAGTGAAAAAAACACCAACAAATTTATTCATAAATATGAGTATGGTGTTTACCTGATGTGGGGTGAGAGAGAGAAAGGGAAAATATGAGAGGAAGAATGAGAAGGAGAGAGCTTTTTAAAGCCATATTTGAGTGATGATTTGTGAAGGGAGAGAGAGAGAGAGAGAAATAGGGATTAATGGAAGAGGTTGTGTGTCTATGAACTATGAAGTGTTGACAAAATATCCTACAGTGAAATGGAGTAGCCTTTGTCTGCTATCAGTTTTTGGGTCCCAATTCAATAAATTCAACCTTTTTTTACTTTTCTTTTCCTTTTCACCAATGGGGAGACACCAGCTGACCCAAGTTCGAGTTTTTTCTCGCCTTTTAGTCTCCAAAGTTCGATGTTTTTAAACAACTTAGATTCTATAGTTTAAGACAGTTTTAACTTACCCGTTAAGGGTGTGGAAACTTCTCCTTGGTAGAACCGTGAGGCTATGACGATATGTAACAGGCCAAAGTAGACAATAATCACGTATGAAAATGATGGTGTGAGGGCTGAAGACTTAATAAGAGGAATGCAGCTAGGAAGAGGTACAAAGAAACAAGGTCTACTGCCCACAAAAAGGACTTCTGTTTTTTGTTTGCTTCCTATTTAATTTTGCCATCCTCCCTTCATTTAAGGCTTTACCTATAAAGATGCAATTATTGGCCTCCTATGCCCACAATCTTTAATGTGTTTTGGATTTGCATGGTTACAAACATTTCATATCTATTATTTTCCATTTTATGTATGGTAAGAAAATAGAAGGAATTTCTCTTGGAAATTTAAACGAAAGGTTCCTATGATATGAATAAAGTTTGAATATTTTAACCAAGCTGATGGAATAGTATTGAAAAAGAAAATTCAGGAACATGAAGAGCGGGATTATGTAAATAATATGAATGGTCTCGAAAAGATGAGAACAAAACATTCTTTATAAGGATGTGAAAATCTTTCTCTACTAGATGCATTTTAAAAACCTTGAGGAGAAAGCCCAAAGAGGACAATATCTGCCTGTGGTAGGCTTGGGCTGTTACAAATGGTATGAAAGCCAGACACCATGCGGTGTGCCAGAGAGGACACTGAACCTCAAAGGGAGTGAACACAGGGCAGAGTGTCAGTGAAGACGCTAAGCTTCTAAGGAGGGTGGATTGTGAGATCCCATATCGATTGGAGAGAGAAACGAGTGACAGTGAGGACACTGGTACCCCAAAGAGGGTAGATTAGAAATCCCACATTGGTTGACATTGAGTCCCGAAGGGGGTGAACACCGGGGAGTGCCAATGAAGATGCTGGACCCCAAAGGGAGGTGAGTTGTGAGATCTCATATCGATTGGACAGAGGAACGAGTGTCAGCGAGGATGCTGGCCCCAAAAGAGGGTAAATTATGAGATCCCACATGTTAGATAACGAACCAAGCCCGTGTTATCCTCATATCATTTAGGGTACCCTACCCCCTGGAGGGTCCTCTCTCTGTCCCTATTGCCACTCCTTGCTTCTGCCGTCTCTCATCTCATCATTTTACCGGTGACCAAAGACAGTGAATTCTTGAAGCCGTTTGTTAAGTTTTGCTTGCTTCTTTTAGCCTTTTGCCCTGTGGTGGTTTTGTCTCTTTGAATTCAATGCTCAAACACTTTTATAACTAAATGAGACTTTAAGTACAATCAGAAGTTGCAGAGTACAACAAACCAAACCAAACCAAGCCAAACCCACAAAAAATGAGAATGTTTTTCAACAAAACAAGTTTTTAATGAATGGGTTGCAACCAAGACCAGAGCTTGGCTTTTGGCGACTTAGATTTATAGTAATTTGGTTCATTTAGATCAGTAAAAACCCAGATAGAAACAAGCATTCATGTTAAGAGAGCTTGAACAAAATGGTCTGTTTGGTCTCTTGTTTATACGAGGATGTCACAGCTCCACAACTTCTCTACAAGCGCCTTAATTGAGCTGCTGCTGATAGAGCTGCAACCTTTGAGGTTCAACCCCACCAGAGTCTTCCCCAATCTTTCAAGAGAAGCCAAGCTTCTACTTGATATCCCACAGCAGCCAGCCAATGAGAGTACTAACAGATTGACATGCTCTGAACGAGCAAGCGCGTGGAGCCCGTGATCCGAGGCTGCACAATTCGAAACATGTAGCTCATTAAGAACTACTAACTTGTCTGCTATTGCCACTAAGCTCTTATCAGTGATCTTCCTACACCCATCAAGATTAAGCAGCTGAATGGTTGCTCCATGGAGTCTAGCCAAGGCAAGAACTGATTCGTCATTTAAATTCAAGCAGCCACTGAGATTCACTTTCACAAGTCCTCCACAGCTCTCTAGTAAAGGAAGCAGCACTGCATCTGTTAAACCATAGAGCCCCACAAGGTCAAGCTGCTGAAGCTGAGGGCATTGTCTCCCAATTGTGACAAGGCTTGCAGCAGCACCAAAACCTGCACAATGGCGTATCGATAGCCTCCGAAGAGACGAGCCGTGAAAGAGCAGGGGAAACTGCAGTGCTGTATCCTTGATTCCTGCGCACTTAACAAGTACTAAAGATTTCAGATATGGTTCATGGTTCGTCAATGAACCGACGATACCCGATATCGTGATCTTGTTACATTCCTCCAATTCAAGGCCTGTTAGTGTTCTTGCAGCCTTGGAGAAGGCTTCAAGTCCATCATCAGAAATGAAGCAGCACTTTCTAAAGCATATCTGCTTCAAGCTTTTACATCCATTGCCTATGGCTGCAAGGCTCACATCAGTAACTCCTTGACAGGAAGTTATTGTCAATAAACTCAATAGCTTCAAAGCTTGAGCATTCCCCATCATCCAAAACCCTTTCTCGGTCACATTTTGGAGGCTGCAAAGGGTCAAATGGGTGACAAACTTTCCATAATGTCCAATCACAGCAAGAGAGAAATCAGTGATATTCAAGGCCTGAAGCTTCACTTTATGCAAAGAACACGAAGCAGACGAAATCAAACTCGAAACGCCACAATCCGCAATCAGCGGACAATTCTTTAAAGAGATGGAGTGCAGCTTAGAACATGACCTTCCAATAGCTTGCAGACTCTCATTCCCAATGTTTGGACAAGATTCAATACTTAAAACAGTCAAATTCAGACAGCCTTCAGCTATTGCTATCAAAGCCCTGTTGGTGATCAAAGGGCATTGACATATATCAAATTTCTCTAACAAATGGCATTCTTTAGCTATCTCCAGCACGCCCTCGTTGCCAATGGAAGCGATATTCCAAAGAGAGAGCGCTCGAAGCGATGGACAACCATGGGCTACTGATGTAAGACCAACATTAGTAGCTCCACATATGGAGTTCATCCCTTTAATAGAAAGCTTCCCTAATCCCCCATGGTTACTGGTTCCTACAGCAATAGCAGCAAGTCTTGTATCTGTTGCTCTCTTCCCCTCCAAATATCTTGTTAGATATCCATTATTACAACCACTGCTCATTTCAGTATCATCAGACTTTGAGGACCCAGATGAGTTGTTGCCATTTTCAGCCCGGCGGATGGTGCTTAGAAGCATAAGCCACCGCCTGGACACACAAGCACAACAGCTCTTTGATTTCCCAGTTTGCAAACGTTTAAAGATTTCAAAGAGGCACTCATCAGGAAGATCATCAATTGCCCTTTTGGTGGGTTGAAAATACACATCCAAACGAGAAGAAATGGGCATAAAACAGCTCAAATTCACCATAGAACTCGAGTGACACGAACAACCCGAAAAGAATTTATCATCTCTCAATCAATCCATGAGCAATGTTTAGTACAATTCAACAAGAACTCCATAAAATAAGATTAAATTGAGAAGAATGTGATGAAACAGAGAAAGGTGAGAAGTTTGGTGAAGGTCAAATTGTGAATCTTGCGAATTGGTAGCATGCAATGTATGGAACATAAGAAGCTAATTTCTTCTCTTTTCATTAAAAAACTAGCAACTAACTTACACAGTCAAATCATGTTTTCCTATTCTTTTTGCTTTTAAACAAACTGCCACAATACCAAGATGTAATTTAGTTAATGGGAATAAAATCTCTCCCTCTCTTCTCTCCCCTCATTCTCACAAACTAAACAAAAATTTCTAGCTCATTCGAGTCAAGTCAGTGCGAGACTTAGTCTGCATGTTAAGTGGACATATTTAAATATATATATGAGAAAGGTATCCGAAGATGAAGAAGGTTAGATTTTAGTTTTGGAGCGACAATTATCTCTGACTTAATCAAAATGTTTTGTTTTTTTGTTTGTTTGATAGACCCTAAAGTTGAAAATATGGAAATGATAAATATTTAGATTATAGGTTTTAATTAAAATATATTATGGAATACACAGAATGAACCATAGATGGCGTCTATTTACAACTTTGAATTAATAAATGGAACTTTTGATAAAGTAAGAAAACTTTGAATTATTACCTTTTTTAATTAGAGAGAGAGAGAGAGAGAGAATTAGAAGAATGTGGTCATATATTTACACATTGCTTCACCTAAAGTTTAAAAAGCCAACCATAAAACCTAAATTTTGGCTATCAATTTGCTCCCCACTTTCCTTCAAATCCCTTAATCCACACCTCAACCTTCACTTTTTGTATATTTGGTTAAAATCCCATAAAAGTTTATTCATTTTGGGACAAACCCCATAAAAGTTTTGTTCGGGAAAGCCTTTATGGTAAAATCAGTTGGGGCCTAAGAGGCCGTGGTTTACCCTATAATTTATCATTCATAAATGTTGATAAGATTTTTCCGTTTAACCACACTTTAAGATGGCATAACTTTGAAGTCAAGGGTGACGTTCAAACGAAAAAAAGGCATACATTAAAGATTATCGTTTATGAATGACATCATTAAGCTTTTTATTATTAAAAAAAAGACAAAAGTTGAAGATTATTATTTAGTCAAGTGTTTTGGGGTCCAGCTCAATTTCCATGGAGAGGAATGCATGCATTTAGTTTTAAGTTGAATATAATATATAGATATATATATCATTGGATCCTGAAAAGAAGCCCATAGTATGTGAAGATGTGTGATTGGTCAATGCAGGTTGGCTCAATAAAAACAATACCAAATTCCAATTCAAATCATTTTTTTCCCTAAACTTGGAAAGTTTTCAAAAATTATGGATTTAGATAGAAACTAGGTAGAGAATGGTGGAGAGTTTCAAAGTGTTCTTATTCATAGAATGAACAGCGGAGAAAACCGAAGCAGAATGCATACAAAATGGTAGATATCTATCTATCATTCTATATTGAGTATCAAGTTCTTCTTCTGCTGTCTCGGTTTTAAGAACCCAAAAGCGCTCGAGCGCACAATGGTGTTAATACATTTGTACACCTGAAAAATGCAGGAGGATTGATAAAGATAAAGAAAAACACCCTTTTTGCTCCTTTTGCAATCCGTACACTGAGAAGCTTCCTAGAGATTCAAGGAATGTATCCAAAATAAAAACCAGTTTCAATCATATAGGCCCTCTTGTTCCCATACTTCAACAAGAAAGTTCACCATTTCCTGTCCAAACCAAGATTTTGAATCTCTTATTCGTAGAATGAACAGTGATTGGAGAACGAAATGACAAAACTTCAACAGCGAACTTACCGACAAAGGAATTCGATGGGGAAAAGGCTGTCTCGTACCAAGTAAATTGTCATATGTTGCACGCCAACTGCATACAAATGCATACGTATATGATGATTAATACACCTTTTGTACCTCGATGGTACCTACTATTTACAAAGACATGCAAATCTCGTGAACTGACCTGATTTTTGCCTTCTGTCGTTCTTGAGTTTCATCCGTTGTGTTTGTATTACTACTTCCAATCCACTGCAACCTAGTCTGGTTCCAGAGAAGCAAACCTGAACGCAATGAAGATAAGTAGATTTCTCGTCTCTATATTGACCAGGTTATAATGAAGAAACGATAGCTCGTTAAATGCAGTTAACGATCTCGAATGTTACCCACGACTTCAACAAAGATCAGATGAGAAAGAGGGAAACTTGCCATGGTTTACATATTCAGAAGGGTTGCTCACACTTGCACCAACATTGCTTTGACTGTGTGTGAGGTTTGATGTACTGATAGATGAGATGCTTCGTTGAGACTGAATGGTGCTATTATCCAAATCACACGTGCTTGTGCTCCAAAAACCATCGGATATGCTCGGTTTCTTGACTACTCGTCCTTGAATTCTTAATCCCTTAGATGGCTCATCCACAGCAATAATATGTGTGGGTTTAGTGCAGCATCCAAAACAACCCCTGCACTGTTATAAACCTAATAAAGCAGTATATGCTATAAAATTGCAGCAAAAACATAGCATGTGCACCATTCATCAATAATGCAAGGCAGTTGTCAAATATTTCATTTATGGTTAGATGCAAACACAACTATTAACAATAGAAATTATGAGAACGCACGTTCTAAATTGAATGTAGAGTGATCATTGATTAATCCTAAATTGCTCGAGTTCTCATGATGAATTGAATGGATGTCACCATGAACACAAGCAGAACACTTCAGAAAAAAGAACGTGTACGTTAAAAACCATGGTAAACCGAATATTATAGTACAACATAGGTTGGATGACAACTACGACATTCCCACATCAGTTATAAGGGTGTAGAAACCTCTCTCTAGTGGACACGTTTTAAAACCTTGAGGGGAAGCCCGGAAGGGAAAGTCTAAAGAGGTCAATATCTACCAGCGATGGATTTGGGCTAATACAACAACAATGATCACGCATCTACTAATGAAGTTGTAAGCAATAACACCATTTAAGCAGGGCGAAAAACAAAAGAAGAGCCTAAGGGAAACTGGGAATGATTGTGCAGCAATTAAACATCTCAACTACAATTCAGAAACTAAATTCAGCTTCTTACAGAACTAAGAATAGTGTGGGGGTTTCTTACTTCCAAGCATAAACTTCGAATATTAATGAATTTAGTTTCATTCTTTCAGGGATCCGCCTTAATATCAATTCTTTTTACTAAATCAGCACAAGAAAACTATTCTTAAGACTACAGTCTACAACAGACAAGTATTAGGCGGCTAATACCCTCTTGACAACTCCATGGATTCACACAGCACAAGGGTAATGCAATATGAAAGCAAAAGAAATATGTTCAAAAAGTAATACTTAGCCATCTTAGAGCTCTACTTCCTTCTCGTAAATGAACAGAAGTTATAATAATCTATGATGGATGATAATGGGTTCTTAGTATTTGACCTTTTTGATCGGCGATAAAGTTGTTAGGGCAACCTCATAAAGGAATAGGACTTGGCTTTTCACTTTCTTCGCCCAGAAAACAAACAAGAAATGAACTAGTTCATATTATTGGCCCCATTTCCGCACAATTTGGAATATACACAATCAAAATTGAATACTCAACAAGCTCTGTAAAACCAATAAGTAATCAAAATTCTTTCATATTAATCAAAGATGCCCAAAGGGGACTGTGTACTGCTCAGTAAATCAAAAAACAGAATCATTCACAAGGGATACACAAAAGGGGCATCACAGAACTCCATTAACATCAAGGATTACGTACAAGTCCTTTCCAAAACTGCATTGAATGATAAGTGACGAAGATAAAGAACTTACCCCATGCAAGCGAACAAGCGGCTGATCCACGCGGCGAAGGAACTATTCAGCATGACCATGTTGATGATGAGCCGAAAGCGCAGAGAAGGGCATCGATTCAGGGAAAACCAATGGGAACCCAAAACCCAGCAACTGGAAAGGGATAGAGCGGACTTTGGGGCCAAGAGAACTGAAAGTTAGATTAGAGAAAAAGGGAAAACTCGAGTGGAAGTGAGAATCAACCAAATACCATAAAAGAAAATGGGTGGGTTTCCTAGAAACTCAGAAATCAGAAAAGAAAAGAGATGGGTAATCGATATGGAGTAATGAATTCCTCCTGGGGTAATATGGATAGTTCACGTGGTGGATTTTTGTTGGTGGTTTATACTCCCTTTATGTGTGGCTCTGGCCCCCACTCCCCACTGGGTTACCATTATCAGCAGCAAAACACAGTGATTTCTTATTTAATCTACTACTTGGACCTTCATTTATGATATTCAAATCATGCTGGTTTTGTTTTCCTCGCCAATTTTTCAAAGTTCGAGACCAAATTTTCTAACCTTGGAATAAATCATACCAAATCTTCAACTTTAGAATAAATACTTCATCCATAGATAACTTATAAGTTACCCTTTTAAACGTAAATGATTCAATGATCTATATTTACTTGATTCTTAGAAATTTCTATACAATTTCAACTTGAAAATGATCTATGTTTAAACCCAATCCACTAAAAAAGTAAGATGGAATTGAAATAGATATGGAAAATGAGACTAAATATAATTCAAACTTTTCTTAATTTGTTAGCATACAACTTGATTCATCATATGTTGATGGATTTGAGGATTATTTAGAAGAAAATTAAGGATTGCAAGTCATGTTCTAATCTTCAACATAATACAGGCGCAGTTCAGTTCTGCCGCCACTTTTCAGAAGCTGAAAATGAAAATGATCGCCGGCTCAATGTAACAGCTCGTCCTGCCATTCTAAATATCAAAACCAACTCAAACAGAACAAAACTCAGAGCAGCAGAGCTTTTTTCTTGTTAAGGAGCAGAATGAAATTGTAGAAATTTTCATGGCTCTCAGAAATCGAGATGTTTGTAATCGTGGACTTCAGTTAATTGTGTTTCTTCAACAGGATTGAAGCTAGACCCATTCTCCAACCAAACAACATTGTTGGCTCATGCTTTTGGGGGAGGAGAGAAGCCAGACCTGTTCGTGAGCTATGACTGGGAAGAATCTCTTGCTTCACCTCACTACTTGGGAACCTGAAAAAGCGGGTCATGTTTGATGCAATTAGCTACAAGAATCATGTGATTAGTCCCAAGTAAAAACCTGAATACCATCATCCTACATATGGATATGTTAACAAGAAGAGAACTGAACATACTAATAATGAGGAATGAAAAAATGACTTCCAACAATCCCCAAAACTAATCTCTAGCTGCATCGTAGAGGATGAAACTGGAAGAAGACTTGCAAGTGATAAATTTAAGGAATCTGGCCTCAACATCATCCTTATACGAAAATAAAAAGTAACATACTTTTCGGTACTCAAGAAATAGCAAAAGTTCTACAATTTGATGCAGGAGTTATGTCCAAAACAAAGTTCATAACTCCATTCTGTTGACGATGGCAAGGAGGGAATCTCACATTTGCTAATCAAGAGAATGATAATGGATTTTTAAGTAAAAAATATATTTTTATTGGCATGAGGAAAACTTTGGGAAAACCAAAAGCAAAGTCATGAGACCTTATGCTCAAAGTGGACAATATCATACCGTTGTAGAGGTTTGTGGTTCCTAACATGGTATCCGAGTCATACCCTTCACTTATCATTTCAATAAAATCCTCAAGTGTCGAACAAAAAAGTTGTGAGCCTCAATGTGTAGTCAAAGGTGACTCAAGTGTCAAACAAAGGGTGTATTTTGTTCAAGGGCTCTAGAGAAGGAGTCGAACCTCAATTAAGAAGAAGCTATTTGAGGGCTTCAAAAGAGGCTCTATGGTGTATTTTGTTCGAGGGAGTCCCACATCGGTTAATTAAGAGGATGATCATGGGTTTATAAGTAAGGAATACATCTCCATTGATACGAGACATTTTGGGAAAATCAAAAGTAATATCATGAGAGTTTATACTCAAAATGGGTAATATCATACCATTATGGAGGTATGTGTTCCTAACACATTCATGCAATGCCCCCTATGCAATAAATTGTCAATCCTTATCTTGAGTTAGGCAACAACTCTCTTCAATGGCAAAAGGCATAATTCTTCCAACTTTTCCTTCTTAACAGATAAACGGATGAAATATGCATTCAAAGACTAAGAACTGACAATGCCCAAATCAAAGGAAAGGGAAGTACTCACAGGTGGGGAGAAGGTCCTTCACTAGCAGATGTTGATAGGCCCTGGCGTTGCTTGTGTTTGGGATTGGATGAGCAGTATACATACACTCGACCTCGACGCTTCACTGTCCTACAAAACTCGCACATCTTTTTCACTGAAGCACGTACTTTCATGGCTGGAGGAACAAAACACAAACATAAAACAAAGAAATGAAACCTAGTGACATGCAGAAAAATAGAAATGATACACTGAAAATGCTCGTAGAAAATGGCCAAACCAATGAGCTCCCCTCAATCTGCCCCCTCCCGACTTCCAATCTCATTATCAAATACCAAAATTTAACAGCATTAGCCCAATAATAAATTCTTCCTCAACTATTCAAAATCCAAAACTCGGACAAGGTTAATCGAAACAATCAACCTTTGCATAAATTTTACAGCAAGAAGCCTGGGAAATACCTGCACAATATAAGTTAAACTAGAAATTTCCGAATTGATTCACAGAAATTAGATCATTATCCCACGATTGTCACTGATGCTGAAAATTGTTAAAACAGAAATCGATACAAAACCCTAAAAACTTGACAATGAACATGAAAAGACGCTTCAGTGACTCCAATCTGCGGCAAAGCTTAACCTAGAAGATGGAGGAGTTGTTGATAGCGTAATACCTTGGAATCGGGAGCGACGGCGTAAAGCTAAGGTAAATTGATTGTTTATTAACTCCGTGATGAACAGAGAGACATGTTACGGAAATTCCAAACAATAATCGAATGACAAATTAATTAATCCACAACTTCAAGTTTATCCAATGAATGAATAAAGCCCTTCTTTTCTTAATTATATATAATTTTTATAATAAAACATCTTTACCAATAATTCATCGTATCCGACGTTTGATTATAAATTATTTCATCCTTTTCTAAATTAGTCGTGCATAAACTCTCAAGACCTTGCTTTAGGTTTCTTCAAAATGTCTCATTTCAATAGAGAGAGTATTCATCGATTATAAACTCATGATCATTCTCTAAATTAACACGATCTGAGACTTTCATCATCCAACAATAATGACTCACTATCAAACAGCCCTCTCATCTCACCTACCACTATTTTACTTTCCTTTTCTATTGACGAAGAGGGGACTTCATGCTCTTCAAAAAATGAAGGCAAAGGTCCCCCGAACTCAAATGAGATCTTCGAGGGACACCCAACCAAAGTTGCCACTATCGGTCTCTAATCTCATACGCGAAATTAATATAATAAAATAAAATAGTTATTAGGGGTTATTAGAAAGGGTTCAAAAAGTTAATGGGTGAAGTCATTGAGAAGGCATGTAATTGGAGGTCATAGTGAATGGGTGGGTATGTTATCATATCCCACTTACACCCTTATGCCTCCTCATTTTTTATGTTCACTTTTTACTATTTCAGGTGCCTGTATATATATATATAAAAATATGAAAAAGAGTAATAAACGAAAATAACATTAAATAAAAAGATAATGATATTTGACTTATAATAAAATATTAAATATAATTTATACGATAAATTAGAATTTATTATTAAATATTTTTAACAAAAAAAAAAAATTCCCGTAAGTCAAGTCAAGAAATGGGAAGCTATGGCCACCGACTTTCTACAATTATTGGCCCCACCAAACTTTCCCACTTCCCAATATTTCTCTATTTAAAAAATAAATAAATACATTTACTCTTTATTATTATTATTATTATTATTTTATGAGATGCTAAATAATTTATTTTCCTCAAATTCCTATTATTTATTTAAATAATTAACTCGTGGAAGAAAATTAAATTTTTTTAATATCATTTCAAAAAAAAAAAAAAAAAATCAGACTGACACATAGAAGACTCGACCAATTAAAAGCACATGATACACTTATAAGGACAGGTTGGAAAGGAGATTGTTCATGCCAGACAAAACAAGCAACAAAGATGTAAAGCTATATTATTATAAACTTTGCACACACGGTTAGGAATTAATACTTTCTACAATAGTATAATATTGTCCACTTTGAACTTTTCTCATTCTAATAGAGATAATATTTCTCATTTATGATCTTCGACTAAATTAATTAATATTAATTAATTAATGTGAGACTCACTTCCAATAATCCTCGTTACACCCTAATACTTTTCTCCATGTATAAATTAATAATTGAATAATTTATTAAAAGGATAAAAATAATTGAATAATTGAATAATTTACTAAACTACTGTTAATAAAAACAGTGTTTTTATCAATAATGGCATAGTGTCGCCATACTTTCCAAACACAGACATATATATATATATATATATATATTTTTTTTTTTTTTTGTGACACAACAAATTTTAAACAAAAAGTCTAGTCACCATATCTGAAACTTCCAATCTTTTTTTAAAAATTAATAATTACACAAATATTAATTAAAAAAAACAAAACTACAACTTTCTCCAAGGGCTCTTCCGCAATTAAAATAAACCCAAAACTACAATTTGCAGAATGTGGAGGGGCTTCAAACGACAAATTCGACATTCTCCAAGGGCCCTTACGCAATTAAAATAAATTTGCTTCAGTTAAAAATATTTATTTGGCCTTCACTTTCACACCCACCAATATGCAATTTTATAAAGTTAAGGGCCAATAATTGAGACTCTGCAGAAGAAATAACAGAAAGTTAATTACAAAATATTTGCGGTCGTGGTCCAAGTTGAAATTTTTGAAAAGGAATCATGTTTAGGAAGCATCCTGGAAGCTGCCCATCTTCATCCTTTGCACTAAATATTAATAAATTAAACAAATTTGACCGAGCACCTTCCTTCGTCAGTAACCCCCAAAAAAGCCGTTACCGTTGGCTTACAGTTGCTTGCACAACCAAGGCAAGCTCCAATTATTGTCGGTCGAGAAATCAAAACAAAAAATTAAGGGAATTTGTACAAACAGGGATTTTAATTACGTCAAATTCTATACAGAGGAGAGAAAATTGAGTTAAAAATTGGGGAATTGAAGCGAATTTCAACAAGAGTAAGCGTAACGATGAACAACGCGATCTCTCAAAATCCCGTTATAGAGCGCCACTCTGTTCGCCGGCATTCCTCGAGGGGCGGCGGGGGGGTTTTGCGACGGCGGAGAAGCGGTGTTGGAATTATTGTTGCAAGCGAGTTCGTGTTGTCTTCGGAAATCGTCGCCGTTGCCGATAGGATCGACGACGTCCTTTGCGAAGTGGACCCTTTTGTTCTTCTTCTTGTTCTTCTTCGTCTCTGAAAAGGATCGATTACAGAAAGAATCAGCTCAGTTAAAGAGTTGAAGAGGAAGAATTAGATGAGAATTTTGGAGAACTTACCGGAGGGAATACAGGAACGGAGAGATGGAGTCGGAGGTGAGAATTGGATGGACTTTTGGATGCAGAAGGAGAGAAGAATTACAGTGCCGGAGACGGCAGCCATGGCTGTGGCCACGGCCAGAGCCATCCCCTGTGAGTTCATCGTCGACGACATAATCGAGTACCAACGTAATCGACAACCGAGGGGATTTATAAACACGACAGAGAAAGGGGAAGGTGAACCAGGTGATGCAATCGAAGCGACTCTACAATTGAATTTAATTTTAAATTATAGTCTTCTTTTTCTTTTTCAAAATAAAAAAATTATTATTATTATTTTTTTTTGAGGTTAATAATATTAAATAATTATTTATGTTAGCCATTAATCCCGAGTTTTATTTTGTTGAGGATTATTATTGGGAGTATGAAAAATTATAATTTATAAGTGAGAAATACTATATTGGTTCGGGATTTCTAAGATATTTTAAAAAATGGAAATTTGGAGAGGTTTGTTTCTTTGTGGGATAAAAGAGGGGAAAAAGGGGATGCATTTTGTATTTTCTTAGATAAACAAAGCAATGAATGTAAAGTAAAAACATAATTTCCAAATTCAACCACCTTTCTTTTTGCCGCTGTGCTGCATGTGTGGACACGTGGCACGTTACAATATAACTTTTTTTTTTATTATTTATTTTTAAATTGAATTTACAAATTTAAGTAATGGTATTAGGTCGTGATTTTATTTATTTATTTTTTGTTTTTGGAAATTTAAAAAGGCGAGGGTCAATTTAGGAAGTAAGGAATTTTGTAGTGGCTAGGGATGTTTGGATTGCACGACACGTCAAGGGCAGGGTAGGGGTAAATACGGAATGTTCATTTTCATGTAATGGGTGGACCAAGTCTTTGTTCTCTTTACATCATTGCCTTCGGCTTTTATCCTCAAGAGGGTCACATGGCAATCGCATTTTAATTATATTCTTAATTCTTAATGGAATAAATTATTTTTACTAAAAAAACAAATTAATTAAATTAATTGATGGGACCCACCTTTGTAACAGAGATTATTTCATTCATCTCCCAATTCCATAAATATCCTTCTCATTTCTTATTTGGTATCTGGTTTTTACCATCTTTTAAGTAATTGCTTTTCGTCCTTACATTTGTCTTTCTTCCCAAATCAGACCCACAACTTTTGTTTTATTAATTATTTTGCATATTTCTCTCTTGTTTTAGACTGAAAATCCAAAGATTCATTCAAACGGCGTCGTTCCACTTCCACTTTCACACTAAGGCCCCAAAAGGCCTAACTGCTCATCAGTTTTGTTATGGGCCTAATTAACTATGATAGTAGTAAATTACGGGCCACAACCACCCGCCTCAAACTCTTCTCTTCTCTTTAAATAAACGCATTTTAAAATTGTGAAACTGACAACTGAGTCATGACAATCGAGCTTAGAACGTGGAGAGCCAAGACAATGACGTAGGTTCTCTGATGGCTGTGATGATATTAAAAGTGCATGTGAGTGTGGGGGAGCTGATTGGGGTTGCATGTAGAGCTTTCTGGATAGACCCATTTGAACTAAACCCTAAAATTAGCTGCCACAAATATTTAAGAAATTTAAGAAAATTGCAAATCTCCCACTAAATTCCCTCATTTAACCGCTGTTTGGAAACTTTGATATCGTCCCACATCGGAGAAGTTGCAGAGATGAGAGGCGGGAGTGGCTATAAAAAGGGATGAACTGGTAACGTTTACAATTACTTACCTGGACGGGGTCGATGGGCGATCATGAAGACCCATGGCCTAAGTTGGTGACCTCCATTGCACGTTAGGAGGTATACCCGCCTAAGGTCTGTCCTGAGAGGCAGAGCCCAGAGCCTACGTTATAACGTGTGGTAGTTGGGGCCTGCGTTCGCGCGGCCCCTACCCGATCAAATGAAAAATCTTCCAAATGTTCAAATTTCGTTAATGTCAGATATTTTTGGCAGATGAAATAGAGGTAATTCCCACTTTCTTTTCTTTAATTTTCTTTTCTTGAAAAGTATTATTTAATATTTTGCTACCATATTGCTGTCTAAGTGTATACTTGCACTAAGCCTAACACACTTTCAGTGTATTGGCTGAGAGT